CTTGCTAAAGGAAACACCCATAAGATCATAAGACCTACTATGGAAAAGGTTTCATTCACCAGGAGAAGAGGAACCAGGGGACCAAGGTAAAGAATTAACTCCCGAGTTAATTCTTTGCTGGTGCTTCCCTGCCTTCTGCCTCGCTTCTCCCTTGCTAAAGGAAACATCCATAGAGAAACAAGGAAAAGGAAACAAGAAACCTAACCCAAGGATAAGAGTTAACTCCAGTGTTAATTCATTCTTGGTGTGTCTTTGTGCACAGCGTTGCTGAGGGAATTAACTCTTGAGTTAATTCCTCATCGAGTGCAGGGTTGAATAGGGGTTGAAGATGAAGAATTAACACCGGAGTTAATTCTAATTAACTCTTGTATTCACTCTCTTCCTCCTATATGATTCCTATATGTTGATTTGATGCAATCGGACAAGACAAAGATGTTCTACAAAGACCTCAACAAACAAATCGTCGTCAATACAAATCAAATTGATAAACACGCCCCATACCTTCATTATAAACGTATATTAAAATGAATAGTATTATATATATGACTGAAATAATTGTGAAGGATATAGAAACCGAAGAAGCCAAGGAAGAAATCAAAAACGAAGTGGATGAACAAGAGGGAACACAGAACGAAGAGGCGAAAGAAAAAGAAGCAGAACCAAAAGAAGAAGAAGAGAAACCTAAAGAAGCCCAAGTGATGACCAAGACCGATATGAACAAGTTGAAGCAGAAGAACCTCTTCAACCGAAACCAACGCAACGAAACGGTCTTCTGCGCTGACTGTAATAAGTATATGTCCAAACACAACTATCGTTGCAACCACCTATGTAAGCCACTTCAGGAGAAGAAACAGCAAAAAGCAATGGTGAAGACCGTCATTGATGCGGAGCAGTTGAAAGCGGACATTATGAAACAAATGAAGGAAGAACTACAGAATGAGCACAAGACCGCAAGGGAGAAGTATGCCACCATCAAAGAAGAGAAGAACACCCAAAAGAAGGAGAAAGTTAAAAGTTTAGCATCTAAAAATTTGTAAGTCTTAATATATGTTGATTGATAGGCAGAAAATGGAACTGAATAAAAAGGACATCTACGACGAGAACGTCAGAGAGACGTTATGAGGAAGCAGACCCTTTACAGCAGTAAAAATCTATCCGGAAGCACTCCGGTAGATACTAACCCGAAGAAGAAAAAAGTATATACTTCCATGGACCACTACTACCACAATGACAACAACAGCGCCAGAGTGCCAGACCACAACTACCAGAAACATCTAAAGAATACGTTGGAGTATCACAACCTTGAACACGACTACAAAGTCCTACGAACCAAACAGAGGATAAAGGAGGAGAGCGAGATGATGTCAAACGAGATACAGAGATTAAGACAGATAAAGAAAAACCACAGACTGACCGACTACGGGGCAAACGTTGAGGCGATGAGGAACAGGAAAAATGAATATAAACAATGGTTGCGAGGTGGTGAGGAGTAAATAGTTTATATTAACATGTTCTCATTATTAATATATAATATATACTATTATGGCTACAGCAGTGATAAACGCGAAACAGGGATTGACAAGAGTTCCCACTTATGCGGAGTTAATCAAGGAACTAGACAAAGAAAAGATTAAGACCAATGAAATAAGGAAGGTCTTTGACAGGAACGCTTGGTATTTTCACGGCAGTCCGCTCAACACAGCGCCCAACGAGAACAGCAACATTCATCCAGCAGACCTTCAACAGCAGAACTTCAAGCGGATGGCACAGGAGGCGACCATCACAGAAGACACTGTCTTTCATCCCGTGGATGATGATGAAATGGAGGAATTGAGAGACGACGCCATTGACCTTTACGAAAAGAGTTTTGAGAAGGAAGCGGAGATGAGAGAAGAGGAAGACAGGAAAATAGCGGAACAGGTCAGTTTAAGTCATAGGGCAGACTTCCACGCTATGAATAAAACCATAATGGATAGTGCGGGTTCATCCTCCAGCGCGCAGGTGTTCAGGAAGAGGAGGTGAAGCAAAGCGTCGTCCAATCCGTGATGTACAAAGTCAAACCCGCAGGAAAGAAACTACTGAAGGAAGCGGTCAAGGCAGTAGCAGCATCACAAGGAGGAGTAGTAGGAGGTCTCATAGCGGACAGGCTATTAAATATTATATAGTATAGACACATCAGGGAAACGGGCAATGAAAAAAGTCTTTAGCAAAATCATTAGGTTCAACGGTTGCAAAGAACGTCGCAGAGGCATTACTTCCAGATGTAGAGCACAAACCCAAACCAAAAGCAAAAGGAACTAAAAAAGACCCATTAAAATCAAAAACAAACCCAACAGGATTAACGGCAAAACTCACACCAAAACCCAAGAGAAGAATAACGAAGAAATCCCCACCAGAAGAGGAAGAAGTAGAACATATGGATACACGAGCGGGAAGTCAGAAGAGAGAGAGAGAGAGAGAGGGAGCAGAACCACCATCACAAGCATCCAAGAAGCACCACAAAAACCCAACACCTAAACGGATGGAGATACTCAATGTTGAAGGAGAACAGCCGCCAAGAACAAGACCAAAGGCAAAGGCAACGGCATCGGCGTCAGCATCTTCGTCTTCATCAGCACCGGCGCCAGATCTCCCATCCACAAAGCGGTCGCACGCAGCAAAGCGGGGATACAGGTGATGAGGGAAGCATTTGAAGACGGACACAACAAAAATATCATTGACCTAATGACCTACAGGATTACCAAGACCTATTCAAACAATGGAAGTCCGCCAAGAAGGAGGAAAAAGTGGAACGGTTGAAAGAAATGAGACAAATGTATAAAAGCCAACTCTATCCAAAACTGAAGAAACAGAAGTGATTAATAAGTAAAATATTATCAATCTCTTACTCTTCAACGAAGGTCAGACTGAAGGAAACATTCACATTATTCAAATCAACGACACTACCGTAGGAATTTACAAGTTTAAAACGAAGGGTTCTCAAGACACGATTACTTACATTGATGTAGTCCGCCCCAATGATTTCATTGTGATAGATTACCGAACCAAAGGGAGCATTGATAGGAACTTTTTTGATGATGGCATACGCCCCAGTTGAACCCAACTGCCTAGCATCGGACAACTCACTACAAACCAAATAAACATTTCTCAAAGCGAGGAGGGTTAACCTGTAGAGCCGTCGCCAGAGTAGCACTAACATAAGAAGAGGAAGGTATGGAAACTTTGACATCCCTAGTTGAGGTGAAGTTCGTAAGTCTAAAGTACATTGTTATTCAGACCCGCCTGAACGAGTTAAATACTGTCAGGAATGGTGATTTCATGAACGTAGAGTTTAGTGTCATCCCCACACTCCTGACTTTCCGGAAGGTAAATCTCAAAGTCGCTGGAACTGTTAGAATTGATGGTTCTGTGGTGGCTGTCAATGTATATCTTCTTAAATCTTGACATCAATAATGTATAATTGGTTGTAGATGTTTACTTTATAATGTTAATTATATATTAAAAAGAGATACGAAAACATCAAGGTAGAGGGAAGGGTTCAAAACTTCAACCCCTTCAAAGAGATTGACGGCAAGACCTTCAACAAAGAATACTACCAGAAACAGAGCAGTATAGTTAAAAAAAGTCAAATAAGAGACCAAGAAGCAGAGTGAATACTTGGATACATATAGCAACATCAACGACCAGACCGGATTGAAAAAGGCATACAGCAACACCACAGACAACGGACTATACTACCATCCAGACAACAGGACGCTGTACATAGCGGGAACAAAAGATTTACCACAGGACGTTATGGACGACTTATTCATACCCTTTCGTACGGTAAGTCATTCCAAAAGATACAAAACGGCGAACGACTACATCCAAAGGAACGGGTATTTGATTGATAAGGTTGTAGGGCACAGTCTCGGTGGAGCGGTGGCGATGGAACTGAACAATAGCAACAATAAGAGGTGGAAGGTCAGGACATACAACGCCCCGCTGATGAGTTGGAATGAACACCGACCCAAACGTTGAGGGATACAGAACGTCAAATAATGTGGTGAGCATTCTTGACAGAGGGGCGAACGTCCATGTAAATACTGTAGAAACTCCTTCAACCCCCTTTACAATCACGAGTATCAGGCGCTAAATATGTTGGTGATGTAGGTAAAGGCATCGGACATCAAATAATCTAATGTTGAGTATATAATGGAAGACAGAGTGAAAGAATACACAAGACACTACAAGAAGGAAACTCAACTATTGAAGGAAGAGACAACAAAGACAAAGGCTCAACACAAACTTTCAAGAGCCAAGAAAATTCAACGAGGTGGTTGATGAACAAGAACTCCCCCAGAACCCCCCATTTTACCATGTTTTTAGGAGATTCGTTCAGACTTCTGAGCTGCCGCGCCCCCAGCGTGGGGCTGCCTTTGAGACAGGGCCTCGTCCAGCCACACTGAATCGGTGCAAAAAAGATTCACAGAAATCGTCTTCAAATGGTTCAAAAGCACCATTTGACAAACAACTTTCGGAGTGGTGAACCTACCCACCTGCGAAAACACTGTGCCTCAGGGTAGATTCACACTGCACCTGCATGTAGGACAATGTATGATAGCTCTTCACGTCTGTTTGAAGCCAACATACCGCCATAGCAGCCATCCCCTCCATCTCCCATCGGGTCCGTACGGCCCCAGCTTCGCACAGCTTGGGAATCCCAGCTGTCGCACTCTCCACCGTAGCCACTGTAGCCACCGTAGGTGCCAGGGCCCGGAGTCCCCAATCTGGGTCCGAGCGAGCGGCTCGGCTCGGTGGCTTGTTGCAAAGAAAAAGGTCAAAGGAATTAGAACCAAGAAGCTACTAGGAACAAGTGCATCGCTACTAGGAACAAGTGCCTCACTAGTAGTAACAAGAAGCTATTAGAAACAAGAAGCTACTAGAAACAAAGAAAAGACCCCCGCAAAGAAGGAAGGCAAGGGTAAACAACAAAGGAACGTAATGAACGGGGGCCTTACGGCCTTCCCTTCCATTTCTTGGTGACGTCTTCAGACCAATCCATCGGACTCTGTCCCACATGGAGCGGCGTGGTTCATGCGCACAAACAGGTAGGTGGAACAAGTTCCAAAAACTGGAGTTCAAAATAGATCATCTAAAGCTGGGCAAAAACCTTAATGCTGGGCTTTAGGTCAAAATGTCGAAAGAAATGTGAATCTCATGCTCTGGAGCTCCTGTCGTGTGCTCCTGTCGCTGGGCACTCCCAACACAGGTCCTCCACCAGGTCTTACCTGTGCGGCACCCACTTGCGGGCCCCTCCCTTGTGCAGCATATTTGTTGAATTCGAAACATGTGAATAGAACCTAGAAGCGATACAAAAGAAAGGAAAAAATCAAACAAACAAACAAAGAAACTCACATACAGTACTAGTACTGTAGATGATTCATGCTTTGTCCACCACCAAAGTCCGTTCAGGTCTGTCATGGGTTGGCCGTTGATTCTGAAGGCACCGGACTCAACCTTTGGGACACCGGAGTCCGGGACTCAAACTGTGAAGAGTTCAGATCTTTGCCAACATCTGATCCCATTCGTCTTTTGTTCCTAGTAGCTTCTTGCTCCTAGTAGTAAGGCCAGCAGCCCCTAGTAGCGTCCTTGCTCCTTCCTAGTAGCGATGCCAGGAGCCCCTAGTAGCTCCTTGTTCACCACATGTGGCCTTTGGAATCAAACTTCCAAGGTGCCTTGGGACCAATCCAACGACCTCTTCGATCGCCGTTTCTTCCCAAGGACCAATCCAACTGTGCTCCCTCACTCCCTCCCTCCGTGGAGTGCAGGTATGTCGCGGTGGCTCAAACCTGGAGGTCAGGCTTGGAGATGGAGGGTGGAAGGGCCAAGAACCCTCTCCTCATACAGCAAAATCATCCTTCTCCATCTCCAAAGATCTGGGTGCTTTCCCCCCATCCACCAATGATCTGCCCCATGTCCGACCGCAACAGCAGTGTTGAACGACATGGGGAATCCCCAATCCAATTTCAGACCCGACACGTTTGTTTCGGTCTCTACAAAACGACCGTCCCCGTTTGGAGGTTCAGCCCAAATGGAGCACCACCTTCAGCTTCGCCTGTTCACGATGTTCGACGGGTTCTCCGGGCGTTTCGCTGGGCGAAACAACTCCAGTCGTTCGGGTTTTGCAGTCGAAGGTCTCGAATGAGCATCGCATTGAGTGGAAGCGCCAAAAACTGCTTGAAGAAAGGCTTCCATTGAGTCCCAGAGTGTCAGAGAGAGGTGGGCGTGCCTTGCACATGCCTTGGTTTTAGTGTCATTTACAAACCATGCTTGTCAGGCACATGAGTTCTACTACTATGAGATATTTGGATTCAGCTACTACTAAGCGGACAGACACTTTCTAGCAGTTGGAGAACCAAATCCCAGGTTGCTTTTTGAATTCAACCTTCCTTCCGAGCTTGCTTTTAACACATTCTCCAAAAACCCACCTTGTGGCTTTGTAGTTTGGCACATAGGCACCAGGGCCTCAAGAGACATCCCCTCAAACCAATCGGGGGATGGTTTCCGCTGACAATCACATTATCCAATGAAATCCCAGAAACTTGCTTTGAATGCCAGACTTCGCAGTTTGCTCATGGATCTCAAAGGGCAAAAGCAGCATGCAAGCCAGAATCCTTTAGACAGACAGTGCGCGTTACAATGTCAAAGTGCAGACTGTCTGACACTTTGCGGATTTGCATGTTAGTGCCTTGTTTCATATATGAAGTGAAGCAGGGGATAGCTACATGGAAGGAACTACTCCCGCTTTCCTGACAAAATCAAGGGTCTGATGGTCTGATAGTCCGATCCAAAGGCACTTGTTCCTTCATCAAGTCCGTGTGCCCAAAGACGAACGTAGGGCATGTGTTTCATTCGCACAACGATCCAAATGTCTAGGACCCGTCAGTACAAAATATACGCCAAAAAAAGCCATCCCAAACAAAGCCAACCGCCTACGAAGAATTTGTGGCATCAGGCCTGGAGTCGCATTTCCGCCTCCCAGCCTGAGGAGGGAGGAACAAAGCCTCTTCGCCAGATATCTGACATCCAACCTACTAGCAATGGCCTCCAACCTACTAGCGATGGCCTCCAACCTACTCCAACCTACATCCAAATATGTGCACATCCTGCAAAGGAACATCTGCTCCACTCCTTTAGACGAGCAAGAGGTGTGGTGCACTAGGTCCCTAGGTCTACGACGGGTGCCGTAGTCCATCCCAGACCATGCAGTTTCACACCAATTTGCAACTGTGTTGTTACATTGTTTCGTCTGTTGCATGTAACAACATGTGTCTTGAGAATCTTGCTGTGTACTGAGCATCAACACCGGAAAGTCCTGCTTTCGGGGACACGAATCACTCATTCCAAGGGTTCTTCTTGTAATCAGAAGTCAGGTGAGACTGGCAGCACATGACAAAAACATGTCTTGCAGCCTGCACATGACAAAAACATGTGGTTTCAAGGAACCCTGGAGATCTCGGCGTCCCCACCCGCGCCGCGCGTGCCCAAAGGCGGGCCCCGCCGAGCGGGGCCGGCCAGCCTAGCGGGTCGGTGGCCCACGTGGCGGGGGACTCCGACTGAAGAGCTTCTTGGACCGTTTACAAAGCCCCAAAATCAACTTGGTTGCAGAGAAGATCAACAAACTAAAGCTACTCAGGTACTAAGACCCACCGGTGACTCCCTTTCGTGCAAGCATTCATCAAGAGCACAAGGATGTATATCAAAGTGAGCGCAAAAAACAACTCTCACATGGAAGTAAAAACTCGAGCTGTTCGGATTGCGGCTTACTCTTACTGCCAGTAGTATGGTATTCTGTCTCCACTAGGGCGAGGGAGGGAGGGAGAGAGGGAGGGAGAAAGAGAGTGCCCACCACACAAGTGAAAAAGGGCACTCTACAACCAAAGAAAGAAACATCATCTGGCATTTGAGATCGGAGAGCTACTTCCCAAATCCGACCTGAGTGCCGTAGGCACCAGGCCCCGGCGAAGCAACAACACTACTACTGCGAGCCTGGCGGGGAACTGGGTGCAGGTTGAAATTGAAATTTGAGGCCGATCCAAAAAGTAGAGCTGGTGATGGAAACAATTGGGAAGGCTCCACGGAAATGCCCAGCAATTTGCTCAACCAACTCCTTCTGTCTCCCGATGTTCCCTCGCGAGGTGAAAAGTTCTCGTACTATCATGGACCAGCACTTAGAATATGAAATCCTAAAATTTAGGAATTAAATGTCCTAGTCAACTCAGTGGAGCCTGAGATAGAATATGGAACAGGCAGTCCAGTTAGAATGTAGAGCTCCAGGATTGAGTTGCACCCTACTCATGTACTGTAGAGTTCCCTTGTACTGTTAGTTCTTGCTGGTTGCACTTGCGCTTGCTGCTGTTGAAGTGGTGTTGTTCTTTGTATATTCTAACTGCAGGTGTATATTCTAACTGCACCTCCACAAATAACTAATTTTTCTATATTCGTACTGCATTATATTTATTTTTTGAATTCTAACTGCTAGTCTATGAGTGTACACTTCACCCACTAAACGGACCGTGGCCGGCTTCGCAGCATGGACCCAGTTGATGGCCCAATAATGCATCTAATACCATGCATCTTATTAGGTTGGAGGCCATGCTGTATGACTAAGATCGGCAGCAACCCGAAGCAGGGCAGCTCGGCAGGTCCATCGCGGCCAGAACTCCCGAAGCCATACGAAGGCGTCCTGGGCAGATGGGCGAGACGGGAGATCCACACAAACCGGGCGAGTTCTTGGAGTTTCTGGGAAGCTCTGTTCAGCAGACCCTTGAATCACCTCTGGCCTCTGGCTGTTCTCCTGGAATAAACTCTGACCTGCCCGGGACCTTCCGGAGAAGTTCAAAAACCTCGCAAATGAAAACCTGCACACGCCAAAAACTGAACATGGAAACGTTCAAGTGATCCCCAAAGCCAAATTGAGCACTCAAAGCCCATGGGGTTTGCTCAAAATACACTTCAGAGATGAGATTGCTGTTGCAGGGCTTCTGGTGGCAGTTTCTGGCGACTCGAGTACCACAGTCCCCACAGACTGCGAGGATCCAACTGACTCGCCGGCCTCTTCCCACTTTGGTTGCTGTATGCCCCTGGCCCCGGCGTGCTTGGCCTGACACACTCCCGCGTGGACCTCTGCATCATCAAGGGAGCATCATTGGCATCCACAAGTATGGTTGCGCACCACTCAATCTGTCGAATCAAATTGCTAGACCCGCAAAAAATAAGAAACAGTATTCCAAACTCCCTGGCAGCACGCTGGCAAATGCGGCAGGCACACCGGCGTCCAGTTGGGCTGCGTCCTCCCATTGACCACTTTGGAGCCTGGAGCAAACACAAGCACCTTTCCCCTGCAGGATTTCCACCCGTGTTCGTGGTAAATAAGTATGGAAGACATGCACCACCTAAAAGTCGCACAGAAATTGTTGTTTTGTTTCAGGTGGTGCAAGATGTTTTGCTTTCGAGAGTAGGGCCTCCCCTCGGAGCTACCTCCCAACTGCGTCCGAGAAAATGTTAGTGCCTGCTTGTTTTGCGAGAGCGTAGTCAAGAGGACGCCATACTCGGAGCTCTTCCGGTACGACATCACCTGCGTAGTTCAAATGGCTAGTTCGGCTAGTACAGCCAGAGTTCGTAACAAATGCCAGCTGAGGCCCTGAGGATCTTGCCGATGCAGCTGTTGCAATTGAAACACACTGACTGAGCCACAACGGACATGGTGATATCATCTGAATGCCTTCTTTAGTAGGACCAATCCCTAAAAGCAGCGGCATCAGGGAAGACTCACTGGTTGGTCAGCGCTTTCAAAACTTAAACTTAAGGTGAAAGGCTAGTCATGCGATCGAATAGACCTTACAAGCATGTCAAGTGAATCCTTCTGGGCCCCTGAATCTCTTGTTACTAGAAGCAATGGCCTCCAACCTACTTGCTACTAGTAGAAATGCCCTTGTCACTAGTAGCTTCTTGTTACTAGTAGTAATGCCCTTGTTACTAGTTTCACTGAAAAAAAAAAACAATAGTAAAATGCAGAGTCCACAAATCAAACCCCTTTCAACAAAGGAAGCAGAGTGAAGGACTTTGAGTCAACGCTCCCCGGATGCCCTTCTATTACAAAGCTACAAAGCAGAGTTTGATGTTGAAAAAGTCCATAGCTTTAAGAATTAAAAATAACTAAGTTGAAGCATCAAATCAAACACACTGTCGGCTCATTCGGGCTGTCGCACAGTCGGCGGCTTTTTTCGTTCCCGGTGTGAAGTTCACGACTTAGTCCGTCTCACTGTCGGTGGAATCACTTTCCAAATTTGTGTGAGAATGCCGCCGGCCATACAAAGCAAAAGCAGCCAAGGCTTTGCTACCTCTAGCAAAGAACAGCTGCAACAGAGAAAGGCCACACGGCAGCTCTGCTGTGCCTCGGATGCCAAGGACTGCGAAGGCAAAGATTGAACAATAGAATAGGTTTGAGATGGCCAGCCAGAGATGAGATGCTGCTGTCATAGTCAGATTCAATGGAAGGATGCACAGCATCAGAAAGACAACAATCATCATCACTACAGACTTGGCCATGACCTTCAAAATAAAGCAACGCTCATCCGTCGGACTCCTGCAAATCAGGTACAATAGAATCAGCTTGGACAGAAAACAAACGGCCGGAAGAATGGCAAGGTGCCACTTGCCTCCAAGGTAAGCCATATTAAGCAACATGCATATGCTTGTCATCATGTCAAAAGGACCCAAGAAGGTTGCGGCACCCGTGAGCTCTGTATAGGCAGCATCCTCGATGTCAACTCCTGCACGAGCTATGTCTCGCAAAGTTGGGGTTGACATGCCAGCTGTGAGGAGCACATGGATGGCATAGTCCACTGAACCAATCTTGTCACCAATCTCCGAGTGGATGTTTATGGCGTCCTCTTGTTGGGAGCATTCAGCGTACAAAATGGAACCTTTGTAATGCTGCCGGAGCTGTTCCGCCTCTAACACACTGGATTTGCCATGAATGCGGTCGACCTCCATGAGGAGGAAGAAAAATGCGCCGGTCAGGAAAAAGAACTCGTGGATGAAGAAGCGCACATGCCATGGACAAACTTCCCATGGAAAATGCCACATGTCTGCATAAGGGAAGAAGGGATCCCAATTGGTGACTCTGAGCCAGCAGAACATCTCACATAAAAAATTTATCACCAGGCGAGATGTGCTGTGTTCTATAGTCAAACTGAGCAAGCCAGCCACACTCACCCCGAACCCTAAGGCATGGCTAACGTGGAGGGTCGTGAAAATACCCAATGCTGTTCCCATGACCGCTGCCAAGGCCATATACTGCAGGTCGCCTACATAATGCAAAGTTGAGTTGTGGGCGATCAGAATGATCTTGCCCTCTTCTTGCGCCAGGTAGGCTTCGTAGGCACACCACAGTCTCGTGTAAACACTTTGATGACGGTTTGGCACGACCAAAACCACATTGGATGCGTTCAAAGCAACCGCGAAGGGCGAACTGTTCGGCGCTTTCAAAAACCAAGAAATGTTCAAGTTTTGTGGATTGGCCAGCACACAACACCAAGCATTCTTCAGGCCCCTAGGCCAAGAGTACTGGACTTTCCTCAAAAATTCGAAGACGCCCTCCTGCCATGCATGGCTGATGAATAAGTCACATTCCAAACCCTCCGAATGTCTCATCAATGCCCAGCTCATCTTGCCAGCGTTACTAGTGACAAGCTTGATGTGCTGGTCATTTACTGTGTAGATGTTTGGTCCGTACTCCCGATCCAAGCTGTCAAAGTTGTCAAAGCAACTTGGTTGGATGTGGCCCCGTTGGATGGCCAACAGAACCTCGTGACGCAAAAGATTTAGATCAAATGAGGTGACACACCAACGCTCTGGGGGTACAGATTTGTGCATCATGTAAGCAGCCAGACTTCTTCTCGTGTCAAGTCTGATGTCAAGTCGCGTGTCAAGTCTGTCCATGGCGGCACAAAGATTCAAGTCAAAGTCAAATGATTCACGTTGCAACCACCAAAAATTGCAAGAGTAACTCATGGTTATATAAACTATTGTCCAAAACCAAGGCAAATGAATCTCTATAACCAAAGTTTATGTTGAAGTCACCTTCGAACTACCTTTTGAATGGCTGCCGGGCTGCCGGACATAATCATGAGCGAATCTGAAAGGTCCAATGCATTAATGGATATTAATGACACAATGAGAGGAATGGTGTCAACGTCAGCAATTTTTTACCTAGAAATCTATTTTTGCATGTTTTTACTGCAAAAACCTGTGTTACATCACTTCGTGTGATTCTTCACACTGACCAACTCAGACTTTGTCCAGTGAACCTGTCGCGTCCCGCATTTCATGCTGCATTTTGTTGAGTTGAGTGAGTTGTGTAGGTTGAGTTGTGCAAGTTGAGTTATGTGAAATGAACTGAGTGTGTGTGTGTGGGTGGGTTGAGTTGTGTGAGTTGTGTAAGTTGAGTTGTGTGTGTGTGTGTGTTGAGTTGTGTAAGTTGAGTTGTGTAGGTTGAGTTGTGCAAGTTGAGTTGTGTGATATGAGTTGTGTGTGTGTGCTGAGCTGTGTGAGTTGTGTAAGTTGAGTTGTGTGTGTGTGTTGAGTTGCGTAAGTTGAGTTGTGCAAGCTGAGTTGCGCAAGTTGAACTATTTGAAATGAGTTGTGTGTACCCCTTGTAAGCACAGGTATTCTCTTGAATTTTCAACAGGGGAGCGGTGGGCATTCTTGAAGTCACCGCTCAGGGAAGACACTTCAAGTTTGCTGTGATATGCAATTTGGACGCAGATTGCACGTACCTGCGAAAACATGAGCACCGTTCACTTCCTTTTGGGCCCCGTTGTAACTAGAACAAGCCATCCAGCCTTTGCATCGGTTCATCATCGGCAGATGTGCATTGTCGCTTTGGATGTGTCGCTTTGGAAGCCATGTAGGCTTTGAGAGGTTTGGAACACCATACTTCACCTGTCCTGGTTTCTTAGGTTTTCACTTGGGCAGGCGTGTGGCACCGCATTTCGCATCAGTACGCATTTCTGTAAGTGTGTCTCTCCTAATGAGAGCCCGAGAGCGGACAGCAGGAGGCTTATGCCAAAGTTATTTCCCAAGATTTGTCGGATTATTGAATTCCAAGCTGGCTCATGCCTATACGTGACCGCAGCGGTCTGACTTTGGCAGGGCACAAGGTGACCACAGCGGTCAAAGTAATTTCGAGGTTCATTGGAACCTGTCCGGCCCTCAGAGTGATGAGTTTCCCTCCATCCATTCCCGCTCACCTGCCATGGAAAAACCGCCTCCCTTAGGGGAGGCGTGTGTGTGTGTGCCCTTGCAGTCAGGGATCTCTTGAATTTTTCAGCAGGGGAGCGGTGGGCATTCTTGAAGTCACCGCTCAGGGAAGACACTTCAAGTTTGCTGTGATATGCAGGACGCAGTTGCACGTACCTGCACTTCCTTTTGGGCCCCGTTGTGATTAGAACAAGCCATCCAGCCTTTGCATCGGTTCATCATCGGCAGATGTGCATTGTCGCTTTGGATGTGTCGCTTTGGAAGCCATGTGGGCTTTGAGAGGTTTGGAACACCATACTTCACCTGTCCTGGTTTTTTTTCGGTTTTCACTTTGGCAGGCGTGCGGAGCCGCATTTCGCATCAGCACGCATTTCTGCAAGTGTGTGAAAACACAGTAGCAACGCGCCCTTTTCGGTCCCGCTCCTTGAGCCAAAGTTACAGTCATTTATAGACTGTCTTCAAATGTCCTCTTAGCTTCTTAGAAGCACATCCACTCTTCTTGAAAGAGTACATGACTGTACCTAGTCATCTCCAAACTACACAAACTGCAAGGAAACTACATCAAACAGTCTCTAAAGACATCGTGCTCTACCAAAAGGTTCTCTAAGCAGTTCCTAGCCACAAGTTGCCACTTCAAACATCCTCCTGCTAAGGTGGTCAAAGGTCAAACACAAAAAGGGCACAGACCTCCACTCAGCTCCAACCCCAAGCACTCCAAAAACGAAAATTCCCTAAAGAAGCAAGCACTAGGTGAGCCATACACTGTACACGTGCGCTGTACGCTACTTTTCACACCCCTTCTTGGGTCGCCTAGGGCTACCTGCCTTCTTCTTCTGTCTTCTTCTCTTCTTCTGTTCGTTTTGTTGGAGCAACTAAGGATCAGACATCAACTAAGATCCAAACTTCTGCCCTCAAAGGTGATCTCAATGACATCAATCCAGAGGTAAACTCGAGCTCAACCCAAGCCAAACTCCAGATCCATCAAAGAATCAACTTCGACCTTCAACCAACACGCGTTCAACCAAGGTCAAACGTGTAAAAAGGATCTCTCAGAGGTGGGTCATGGAATCTCATGGGTTGATTCCTTATTTCATTGACCCTTTTAAACCTCATCATCGAGATCCTCAAAAGCACAAGGCTTTCAAGGACAACTTACCTGTCAGCTCAGGAAGCAAAAGGTGATCTAGAGTTACCATGCCGTGCAAACCTCTGACCTCAAGACCTGACAAGTTCACAAAGTTGACATCAACTGCAAAAGATGAAAACTTCCAAGGTTACCTAGACACAAACTTGCAATGAACATAGTTGCAAACAAGCAAAAGTGAACTCGCAAGAAAACTCTCTGGAAGCTAAACCTGCGATGAACGAAGCTCCAAGCAACTGCACAAGACATCACAAGAAACTCTCTCTAGAGGTTACCTGG